AATGGTAATGGACGGGCTAGCCCCTCTCCCCATCACTATGCCACAGTGATAGGGTCTTGTGTGTGGCTTCCCTTGGTGTGCCCAAACTTCTCCCACTTCAAGCTGTTACTCTGAACTTACCTTATCATTTAGAGTTCCCTGTTGCTTGGAGCCCCCCCACCCCCTTTTAGCATCCTCAAGGCTCACTCAGTGTATACACCTCTCAGGTAACTCTTGCTCTCTGATCTGCAGTCTCGGTGCTGCTTTGTGTTCTCTTGAACTTGGGCTGAACCTGTGTTGTCTTGGTGGCATCTTGTCTCTAAGATGTCCACTTTGAATCACCAAAGAGCTGTCACTTGAGCCCTAGCTTTGTGGTTTCTAACTAATTAAGGCTTTTGAATAGAGAGAGGGCTTTATGTCTAATGCAGGTATAACAAGTCAGAGAAAAAGGGATCTGAAGAATCCTGGGCATCAACACTCATCTTGGAAGAGGTTATGAACTTTATTAGGAGCTGCCCCCCTACCCCCTCAAATGTTTTCTTGATCATAGCTCCTACATGGACAGGTCTGGTTTTGTTGCTTTCAGAAATGATCTGCTGTTAGCATAGGCTGGCCTCCTGTCTGCCTGCTGCTATGCTGGGAGAAGAGGCAAGAAAGGTGATTTTGATATGGAAAGAGTATGCTTTGAGCATTTGTACTTTCGAGGTCTGTTACTAAAATGCCTTCACTATCTTAGTCATCAATAGGAAGGTGCTTGCCACTTGTCCCTTCCTTCCTCTTCTGGCACTGCTGCTTCACTTCCGCTGCTGGGCCCACTGAAACAGGGAGGTTATCCCTATAGGAAAGGAAGTCCAGGCAGCAAACATGGAAACATGCTGGGAAAATCAGCCAGTACTCTTGGAGTGCCAGTACCTGCCTCACTGAGGGGTACATGGGCCCCCTGAAGTACCATACACTGCATCCTTCCTGGCAAGAACCCACCATTGGACCTCCATAGAATAACCTGGTGCCCAGGAAGGCTAGAGACTGTGACTGCAGTTAACTCTGAAAGAACAGGAAGATTATCCTACCACTGGTTGAATAAGCAGAAGAGAACCATGAAGATATCCAGCAGTAGCCAGTTTCAGCTAATTCTTTGTGTGATGGGAGCAGTATTCCATGTTCTTATCCGCAGCATAGCTTTCACAAACAAAAACAAAATAGCTATTAATGGCACCATGGGGGGTAGATCCAGTTTATATGTGCTTGGTTTTTTTAGAGTTAAAATATGACTAGTTTTTTTTTTTGCCTATTATAATGTTCTAGGAAGACATGATTAATCTGCTAAATTAAAGAACACTGATCCTAATGTTTTTAGTGAGTGGAATAATCAAATTCATTATTGTTTTCTGAAGCAGCTGCAAACTTAATCTAAATGAAAAACGAATATAAATCACATCTCTGCATTATCAAAAATGAATTTGATTCCCATCTCTCCCTGGGCTGGGAGAAAGCTGCATTAAGCCCATGTCAAACTGCAAGCTGGAGACTTGTGTGAGTCCTTGCATTCCCTGTGGTTTGCTGCGTGTGTGTGTAGGAGCTGATGTCGAGTGAGTATTTCCTGTCAGTTTAGAGAAATAATTCAAGTCCCTGGTTAGTATGCCATTTACTGATTGCAATTAAATCTTAGTGTGGCACAAATGACAGGCTAATTTCCTTCATTTACAAAGAGTTCCAACAATCCAGTAAAGAGGCAACTGCAGGCAGAAGATGAGAAGAGGCAGTTCTGTGACTGCAGGCCATTGACAGAAGCCTTTACATATGAGAAACATGGCGGCCTCCTTGGTAGAAAAGCACATGTGTATCAGATGGAGGAGGTACTGTTTTCCCCTCTTCAGTTCAACCAAAGGTGAAGTAGTTTAATGTTTGATACCAGTAGTTGTGGGAAGCAGCTGGGCACTTGGTAGCCTGGGCAAACCAATGGGCACTTGGCACCTCTTAAAAGATGCTTTGGCATTACAGGTTGAAATGCAAAACCTCTCAGTTCTTCTGCAAGGAGTTAGAAAAGAGAGCCAGCCCAGACATCTGTAACATGTCAGCATGTTGTGTGTAATAGCTGATTAGTTTGCTTCCTGGCTTTGCATCAGTTGACATTGGTTAAATACATTGTTACACAGGTGTCTATAGATCTATGAAGTTGGAAAAAATGAGGTTGATGAGTAAATGAAGATTTTAAGGTATATTAAATATGTTTTTTTGGAGAAAAAGAAAAGTACAACTGTATGTGCATCATATGCATACAGGTACCCAAGGAGACTGAAAGGAGCATCAGATCCCTGGAACTGGAATTACAGAGAGCTGTGAGCTGCTGTGTGGGTGCTGAGAACCCAACCAGACTTGGGCCATCTCTGCTAGAGCAGCTAGTGCTCTTAGAAGCTGAGCCATCTCTCCAGACCTAGTTGCATTTCTTAGGACCTAGCACATGCAAGTACATGTTCAGGATTCTCTGAGGACTCCTTTCGAAGAGAGCCCTGGATTGGAGAGAGTTTTGTTGTTTTTATATTTTTCTATCCTATGCTCTGAAGTGCTATACTATGTATAGGTTTTTACTTTAAAGACAAACTTATTTAAAAACTTAACTTAATATAAAGTAGGCCTGCACCATGCAAGGGAGAGCTAGGAAGCTGCTGGTCCTGATGAGCTGAGGATCACGGGGGAGACTGACATCCGGACAAAGCCTCTGTGTCCTGCCCTTGGACTATTAGGATAAATCTGGCCATGGGGTATATAGAACTTGAAGTTGGGCTGGAGAGATGGCTCAGTGGTTAAGAGCACTGACTGCACTTCCAAAGGTCCTGAGTTCAAATCCCAGCAACCACATAGTGGCTCACAACCATCTGTAATGAGATCTGATGCCCTCTTCTGGTGTGTCTGAAGACAGCTACAGTGTACTCATATATAATAAAGAAATAAATCTTAAAAAAAAAAAAAAAGAACTTTAAGTTAATCACACCTTTTGTTCTCTTTAGCCTGGTAATGTGCCTAGAACTAAAGTTAGCTGTGAAGGACTCAGAGTGTAGGCTGGAATACTCTTGGGCATGAGAGTCCAGAAAGGGCAGGCTGAGCTTAGGCTACCCAGTGGGCAGTAGAAAGAATGAAATGGGAGTGGGAAGAGACTAGGGACTGATCAACACTTTGCTAACTGAAGAGAAGTAGCATGACAGAGCCAGAAGAAAAAAGAAAAGTTGAGAACCAAAGACTACACTCACTGCTCCTCGGGAAAGAGGCCCTAGTAGCAGCAGGTCAGTGCACATGGTCCTCACTCAAACACCATTGCCAATGACCAGGTGGAAAGCAAGACCCAGCACCACACCTAACACCACATGTGAGGAAAATGAGCACAACTTGGTAACATCCTCATACATTAGAACCTGTGCCACAGAGAGCTACAAGCAAGGGACTCCTAAATGTCACTTGGACAGATCAACACATGCAGGCCTAAAGTCTCCTCCATACTGATTATGGGTAATCTGAATGATCTCCCTATGATACCCAGAACAGAAGCAGAGCACAGGCCAGGTCAATGTCTCACACCTAGAGGAGCTCTTAGGCAGGGACCCCACAGCTCACAGTATGGGTCAGCTGATACATCCTAAACCAAGCAGACAAGTCATGACCTCTGGACTGCCACCCTCAGCTGTACTCTTAGCACTCAAGGTGACCTGCTGAAGACCTGGAGGTACAGGACAGGCAGGATCCAAAATCTGCAAGGTGGCTGACTCTCCTCTGACCTGGAAACACTGCTGCTCCCTGAGATGCCACACATCCTTAAAAAATGTCCAGTTACACTTCCAAGAAAAGAAAGGAAGGTGACAAGTCTGGAAGGGGCTTGAAGCACTAGGAAGGACCATTATTCCCAAGCAAGATGCCTGTGATTCCAAATCCAGGCTGAGAGCAGCCCGAAGAGCAGCAGGGCTGCAGGAAGCATTGTGATGCTGATGAAACTCAAGGCAAGAAAAAAAGGGGGAGGGAGAGGAAACGGCATTCTGTGATGGATATTCATGAAGGGCGCTTCCTAATTTAAAGGAAAACAAGTTTAGAGTTCTTACTGCATTAATTCATGTGCGAGAACATTTTTATCCGAACTGCTACATTTCTGAGCGAGGCGCTAACACTCTCCAGGTCTGCCCAGATACACTAATTTGGGGAGGGTGTGATTTGTCTTAGTCAATGCAAAACATTGGAAGCTGCTTCTGAGCTTTCCACCCAGGAGAGGAATGGCTGCTTCAACCTCACCAGCAACAGTGTGGATGATGCCCTTAGCTCCTCCTGCCCTACACACTGTGCAGAGGAAATTCCTCCAGGCAACAGACACAGATGTCGCAACTATTCCCACTGTACATACAGATGAGGGGACACACTCCAAGAGACAAGGAACTTTCCTGGGGTCAGTCAGCTAATGACTGACCCAGCCAGGAACTGAAATGACATTTGTCTCTCTGAGGAAGAAGAGAACTTTAACTCAGGCTTTCTGGTGAAATGTGTGGCTTTTCTTGGTGCTGATCCTCATGACCAACTTCAAGTAGAAAGACAAATTCCATTCAAGATAACCTGTAAGTCATGGTCTGACATGGTGGTAAGGGGCCATAATTGGACAAACACAAATCAGTTTCAAAATTTGTGAAATGCTCATTGTTTTTATTCTGTCAAATAAGTAGGCCCCAAAAAGTGTTTCAAAACCTTTGCTTTTCTTTTAGAGATGGGGTTTGCTATATTACCCAGTATGGGCTCAAACTCCTGGATCCTCCTGTCTCAGCCTCCCCAATAAGGTACCAGAGTTTTGCACCACTGTTCCTGTCTAGTCATTCCACACTGGAATCATGAGCTGAAAGGATGTTTCAAGCAGGAGTAAGCTTTCTTAAAGCAAAACTTTCAATATAAGTTAAAGTGCAGCAGCTTATCTGCTCATGGCTGGCTTTTTAGGAGACCTGGAAAAATACACACGTTCCACTTCTTGTAACAAACGGATTAGAAAGGCTCACCTTGAATTGCATTCTTCCAGGGTGCTTTCCATGCCAGCAACATCAACAGAAAATAACCATTAGAAGCTTAACTGTGCTCAGTTGGTGACCTTCACTAAGCTAAATTCAGCAGTTTGTCAGCTACAAAACATTAAATGGACACAATTAAGAAGTTGAAAGCATGAAACAGAATTTCAACTAAAATAAATATTTCAACTAAAATAACATGAAAATTAATGGAAATATAACAAAATGATGGGACTCTAGGTTTATAATGTTTGACATTCTTGCTTCAACTGAAAGGCAGACTAGACATGTACATATGGGTCAGGCAGAGCTTGGCAGCCCATATCCACTCCACTCCTAATACACCACACCTAATCATAATAAAATGTCTTCAACAGTTCCTAAGGTTTGCTATCTCCACTGTATGCCATTTTCATTAAAAAATCTTAGTGGCTGTGGAGAGGGCTTGGTCTATATTAAAGTGCTTACTCTGCAAGCACAAGGGCCTGAATTTGGATTCTCAACACCCATGTAAAATGCCATGCACAGAGGTTCATGCTTGTAATCCAGCACTGGGGAAGTGGGGACAGGAGAATCTCTAGGGCTTGCTGGACAACCAGTCTGGCTGACCAGTGAACTCCAGATACAATGAGACCCCGTCTCAAAAGATAAAGTGGAGATGTGAGAGAGGTAGAAAAGCACACAGACAAACAGACGCACACGATGCTGTAAAAACCCCACAATCCAGACTTTATTACACATTACAAGTAAGAAAAGTCAGGCTCAAGCTGGGGATGTGGTAGAGCACTGCATTTGTTTAGCATGTGTAAGGACCTGGGTTAATTAACTCTTCAGCACCAAAAAAGAAAAAAGAACGAAAGAAAAGACAAGCTTGGCAATGTCAGAAATGGCTCTCGTTCAGAGCTAGTGAGTGGCTGTGCAGAGTCAGACCCAGGCCTGCCTAATCCCGACTTTCTTTCCCCACAGCCTTAGACTTAAGAATTACATGATTTTTCTTTCCCGATTAGGAATAAACACTAACATTTTACAGAATTTATTCTGTGCCTTCTGCATCTGAGAATAAAATTGAAAACATCCACCTGGCATTGCAGCATTAAATACCAGTAGTTACAGAGGATACAAAAGCTCATAACTACTAAGAGCTTCTCCTTTAAGAAAAAAGTTGTTTACCAATAAAATCAGGAACTACATGAGGACCGATTCTCAAAACTCCAGTTTCAGCATCAGGTAGCAGGAGTCTGAGAGAAGCATTAACTTACATGCTGTGACCTCAGACAAAACTCCTGCTCTGGCTGGGCCAGGACAAGCTCAATAACCAAGGAAGCTTGCTTCGGAGTCCCAGTGCCACAAAGGCATGGGGGTAGGGCGGTGAGGGAACACCCTTTGGAGGAAGTGTATCTTCAGCAGGGGCTTGAAGGAAGTGAAATGAAGAATGTACTTGGAGGCCTGGAACAGCCCTACAGGCAGTCATAAGCTGGCCAAACTTGGAGAACAGAGGCTGGGGAAAGGTCAGGTTCAGGTGAGAGGGAAAAAGTCAAACCTAAGAGACCCTTGGAAGGGGAGTGGGGGAAGTAGCAAAGGCTAGACACTATGAAGCAGGCAGAAAGGACACTGTTCAGCTCTCAACACTGCTGACTGCCATCTCCCCTAGCTCACCGGGTCCTAGCCTCTATTCCTTCTACCTCTAGCAACCCTGGTCTCTTCTTCCTGGAATATGCCTCCTCCAGAATAGTTTCAACTTTGGCCTAGTGTTCAAGATCTTTCAGGAACCAAGCCTAATCAACCTTTCCTCCTCCTCTCCCATCTTACCCCCTCCTCGGCCAAGAGGCTGCACTAATCACTAACTACATAGGATCCTTTTCCCCCATCTGAATCCCACTTCCCCTTAACACACAGTTCAAGTACCACCCCTCACTAAGTCCTTAATGACCTCTACCTCTCCTGTTGAATTCTATCGGGCACAGCCTTGTATCACAGACATCACCTATTAACAGGCAATGTCTGAACACCCACTGCAAAGCTTTGGGAGAGTCACGGTACCTTCCTTTTGTCCACCACTCACAGCATTTTGACTTTTACTAAGCAAGCACTCAACTATTTTTTTTACTTCCTATACTAAGTTTGGCGTTAGCATAAAGGAAGGATGGGGGAGGGTGAAACCTCTGGAGTCAGAGACCAACTGAGAAGCTGTTGCAATAATCCAGATGTGAAGCAAAAACAGCTTAGACTAAGGAACAAAGAGAGAATGGGCAAATACAGACAGCAAAATGTTTGCATGCAAAACGCTCCACAGGAAAACTATGGACCACAGCAAGGAACGATGAAGGATCAGTAAAGCTATTTCCAAGAAAACCCTTCGGGGAATCATTTTAAATCTTCCCGAGACAAAATGCACTAAGTGGTTAAAAAGTCTACATCTGGAGTGGGAGACTTCGCCCAGCATGTTGAACCAGGCATAGACCTTGCAATGTCAGATAGTCACAGCATGAAGGGTCTGTAGGGAGTTCATCTAAACTCTCAATTCTTACGTGGAGAAACTGAGGCCCAGCATGGAAAAGAAGACTTGCTGAAAACCTCAAGATGGAGCGTTCCATAATTGAGTAGCCCCAAAACAGTCACCTGGCCTAGGCGAGCAGTGTTTTACACGCCCCCTCCCCAGTCCATCCCCAGTAGTGCACCAGTGGCCACGCAGACCACCCGGGCCAAGCTTAACACGCGCCGCCTGTTTACCTGGCACAAGGCGGTGGCCAGAGGTAGCAGCTCCTGGACAGCTTCCCGCTGACCCCCCCCCTCAGGCCGGGCCTGGCTCTCCGGGGACAACGGTCACTAAGACCCCTTGGTACGGGAGGGAGAGCGAGCCGCCCGGGGCGGAGGCTGGAGGGGTGCAGGGCAGCTGCCCCGGTTCGCCACCCCTCGGGGCCAAGCGCCTGGCCTCCGGCAGGTGCCCGGGCCTCAAGACCCCGCCCGGCCGGCCCCGGCACTGACCAGGCAGCCTCTCGCCCGCCCCGCCGCGCCCACGGGGGACAGCTGCCCCACGGGCCGCTCCGACCCTGCCGCCTCCGCCCGCGGCCGCTAGCCTCACCTGGGCCGCGCGCCGCGCTCACATCGCCCGCCCGCGGCGCCCCCCTCCT